CCCCCACCCCAAAGACGATGGGCCAATAACTAAACATTTCCCATACCATTTTATGTGGAATTATTCAATAAATTTCGTTTTGCACTATACTTTTTGAAATTATTTGGAGTTAATTATTTTCCTTCTTAAAAGCAACCCTGCGGGCTTGGAAGGCGTGTGTACCAATAATTTCATCTCTAGCATATTCCTCCCCGAGGAAGGCAGTCGCCAAATTCACCGACGGTTGTTTACTGGTTATATTGTGCTTTCGAGTTACAGCCGTACCTAAATTAGCGCGTAGAGCGTTTCGCTTGTATCTTTATCTCTCTCTGACGCATTAAATTTATATATGCTAGAAGAAGAGAGGCCGACAGGCCCAACGCTTGGCGCGCTTATTTAGGTATGGCTCTTAGGCGTTGTACCCGTTACATGCGGTTTGCTACAGCTCTAGTATCAAATGCCAAAAGTATCGATATGGTATCGTATCGTATCGAATTTAGTATCAGCACAAAGCGCGGTTTGCATCAAAACGTTCATTTCATTTAAATATTGTTATTGTAATTAAAAATCCTCATAATAAGAAAGTAATTAGTTATGAATAGCAAAGGATCGTCGGTTCGCTCCCGTGCAAATGATACTGATAATGGCGTGTTAACACCAGTTTTAAAAAGCCGCGCCAGGCTGACTCCTAGTAACTTGAGACATAGAATTGTATACAAACAAGATTCTGCACCCAAAAATCTAAATTCTGTTGAAAAAAAAGGGGGTCGAGTTAACGAAAATAAGCAATCAACTTCAAGGTCACATATTACAGAAAATTCTACAAACACACCGCGAGTCACTCCGCGCTCAACTGCCCTAAATGCATGTTATACTCCATCGTCCCTATTTCGAAATGGAGCGTCAACTCCTTTGAGTATATTGCGCACGCAACAGTCAACTCCATCCACAAACAAAAAATCTAAGCAAAACTATGAAACAGTATCTCAACAAATTGGTACTGCAGACACGGAGATTAGTAATCTTACTGTGGTAGTAAGAGTTCGGCCATTGAATGCCCAAGAGTGCTCGTTGGTCAAAGTTTCAAATGTAGTACGCGTTTGTGGAAATAAGTTGACGGTTTCGGCGGGTATGAATGCGGATTATACGGCAGGTCTTACCCATTCCTTCACCTATGATCATGTTTTCGACTCTACTGACCCAGATAATAGCAAGTACGCAAACCAAGAAGGTGTGTTTGCAGGCACAGCTATGCCATTAATAGAGCGAGCTTTTCAAGGTTACAATGCTTGTCTTTTTGCATATGGTCAGACGGGATCTGGAAAATCTTACAGTATGATGGGCATCGAAGCTTTAGACGACGATGCTTCTGGAAATAGTGCACCTCATCCCGAAGCGGGGATAATTCCGCGATTTTGTCGAGAGCTTTTTAAACGCATTGATAAAATTAAACATATAATACGTGCTGAAATCGAAATTAGTTACTTTGAAATATATAATGAAAAAATCCATGATTTACTTTGTGTGACACAAAGCGAAGGCAATTGCAGCATTGGCAATATACATATAGCTAGCACTCAGGCGAATACAATTGGCAATAGTCGACCTGCTTTAAAAGTGCGTGAACATCCAATTTGGGGTCCGTATGTGGTGGATCTAAGCGTCCATCCTGTAGATTCATACGAAGCTATGCGAAATTGGCTTGCAGTAGGAAATTCGCAACGTGCAACGGCTGCCACCGGCATGAATGATAAGAGTTCGCGATCGCATTCAATATTCAATATTGTTCTGAATCTGACTGAAGTTTCGGATGACAAAGATGGAAATGGAACTTTGTCAGAATTGGCTATCTCGCCTAGGACCCATCAAACACGACGAAGCAGGATAAGTTTGGTCGATTTGGCAGGAAGTGAACGTATTTTGTCAGGCGGCACGAATGGAGATCGCATACGTGAAGGTGTTAGTATAAATAAAAGTCTTTTAACTTTAGGCAAAGTAATTGCTGCCTTAGCGGATGCAAAGAAAACTTCAACAGGCGGAGCAGCTTTTGTACCTTACAGAGATAGTGTACTGACGTGGCTACTAAGGGTAAGATTAATTAAATTGATAATGGAGTTTTCTAATAAGCATATCATTTCTACAAGAAAGCAATTATACTAGCTACATGCTACAAATGCATTTATAAATTCGGTTATTTATTATGCTGTAATTAAAAAAATAACCTTTGATTAAAAGCATATAAAAAGGGCAGTGTCTACACACACGCGCCACGGTAACTTGGATCTACGGTAAAATTACGTGGTACGGTAAAAGTTACCGTGGCGCGTGTAAGTAGATATACATATATAAAAAGTTCAAAACGCGCGCTCAACGAAATTTTTTTACTTTTTTTATGGTAGAGTTGAGTTAGGACCATAAGGTCAACGTAACCAGAAATCCTCAATGTTGTAGTGTTTTCTTGTGTTGTATTATTTGTGCAGTTGCTTTGTAGCCAACTTGAGACTTTATAAAAGTCGTTTGCAGACTGCCACAAAAAAAGGCAAAAAATAATGGCTACTTACAAGGCTGCAATGAGCAAGTCCAAACAAAAAAGCAAAAACAAAAAAGAAATAAAAATAAAACTGCTATAAATGGACTAAATAGAAAATATCTTTTTTTTTACAACCGCAGACAGTTTATTAGATTTAGAATGAATTGATTAAATCGATCCATTAAAATCGATTTCAAATTTGGTTTCCATGCAGTGTTACCACGAACAAATTTTTTTTCCTACAAAAATTGCCTACCAAGACCAACCAAAACCTACCAAAAATTTTCCAATGCCAAGTTTATTAAAAATGTAGATAGCATAACATGTAGTAAAACTAAAACACGGCTGACAAAAAAAAAACAAATTAACTACGTACAACAACTAATTTTACTGTACAGACACACAAATGTTTGTCTCTTTACACCAGGGATTGGCAAAGGGTGCTGTTTTTGTGACTTCAAGCCTACTCACGTTAAAAACGACGTGTGTCAAGTTAGCACTACACTTTTCGAATTTGGAAAAGTTAACTACGGCATTAATTGTAGTGTTTTTGTTGTAAATTTGTTGTGGAAAGAAAAAATTTGTAGCTCTCGTTTTTTAAGAAAAAATGGTATGTAGTGCTAACTTGACACCATAC